TTCAGTCCTGCCGAAAGGCTTCTTCAGTCCTGCCGAAAGACTTCTTCGATCCTGCCGAAAGGCTTCTTCAGTCCTGCTGAAAGACTTCTTCAGTCCTGCCGAAAGACTTCTTCAGTCCTGACAAGAAGTATTTCACATGAAAGACAAAACGTTTCTACAAATTTTTTTTGAACGTCCAGAAGACCCGACTTAACTTTGTTACAATTTTCATTTTAGTTAAATTATGTTCAATTTGAATAACTTTGAGAATAAACAACTAAACAAATAAAGAAATATTGATTGCTCAACAAGATTTGTACAGAAAAAAAAAAAGCATTTTCAGTATTATTAAACATTCGAGTCCTCATTTTCTGCTCTCAACAGGAAGAGGTACGGCAGCTGGTGAGGGCCAAACGGCACAAAATGGCACGGGCATTTGCTGTTCTGCAGGAGCAGAAGGAAGGAGGCGGCCAGTCCGTGATGACCCAGGCCACCTGGAACCAGCTGGTGCGACTGGTCCGACCTGACGTCAGTAATGCCCACAGAGAGCTGCTGTGGAGCGTCTGTGACGACAAAAACCACGGCTTCATCGGTGGGTCACACCGAGAGGGAAAAAGTCGTGAGAGCCATGTTTAACGTGTGTCTTAGTTTCACTTTCACTCTGCCTATTTTAAGACAAAATACTTTAATGAGAAGATAATGAGCCATTTCTCCTCTTGTGCTTTGGTTGTTTTTATTGGCAGTCGGAGCAGGTGTGCTGTCACAATCACTGCGAACAGCAAACACGGTTTCAAACACCATTCATAAACATTTTCAGCTCTTTTATTATCACAGACCCTGTTTGAAACTCTGTGTAACTCCTGGTCTGAGCAACATTTAGAAATTCAACCAGAGACCAAAAATACTGGTTGAGTAGCACAAACACAGACTGTTAGTTAAAACATCCATTGCGGGGGTCACTGGTGTACCAGTTCCCGGAGAAAACCCACGCATGCACTGAGAGAACTTGCAAACTCCACCCAGAAGTGTCCTCGGCCGGGATTTGAACTGGTGATCTCGCTGAGAGGCGGCAGCTCTACTAACTGTGCCACCGTGCCGCCCGTTGTTTAAAACAGTATTTGCTAAATATATTGGTGATATTAAAACGTGTGTTTGCAGGATTGTTGACCCAAACCGTGTAATCTGTGAAGGTAACGTGTCTCAGCTCTGATCCTCTACAAAAGTTTTAAAAAGTTTTACTGGAAGAGACGTTTCCATTGACTTATTGACAGGTTGTCCCAGTGGAGAGCGTGAACAGCTGACGTGTTTCACAGTCTGAGCTGTGCCATGTTGTCAGCTGTTTAGGATGTGGCATCTTCTGTAAGATGACCAGATAACCCCCCCCCCCCCCCCTTTTTGAAATTATGCTTTTATTGCTTTTGTAAGCAAATCAGTTTGACATGATCGTTTTAAAATCACATTTCAAAGAAAGGAAAATATAAGATTCCTTGTTTATTAACAAGAGTCAGCAGATTATTATAGTTATTATAGTTATTATAGTTATTATAGTTAACGGTCAGCGGACCTGCGTTATATAGTTATTAAAGTATTGCAGTATTGTACAGTATTACATAATTTCTATAGTTATATAGTTACTAAAGTATTGCAGTATTGTACAGTATTACATCATTTCTATAGTTATAGTTAGTAAAGTTTTGAAGTATTATACAGTATTACATAATTTCTATAGTTATAGTTAGTAAAGTTTTGAAGTATTATACAGTATTACATCATTTCTATAGTTATAGTTAGTAAAGTTTTGAAGTATTATACAGTATTACATCATTTCTATAGTTATAGTTAGTAAAGTTTTGAAGTATTATACAGTATTATATGGTATCTCTTTAGTTCTACACTATTGCAGTATTATATAGTATTACAGTATCTCTTTAGTTATATAGTTACTATAGTATTGCAGGGGCGGCTGTGGCTGAGTGGTTAGAGCAGTCGTCCTCCAATGCAAGAGTTGGGGGTTCGAATCCACCAGCAGTCACATGCCGAAGTGTCCCTGGGCAAGACACTGAACCCCTCATAGTCTCTGATGTGTGTCCCATCAGTGTATGAATGTGATAAAGCTCTGATTAGTCTCTTTAGAATGATTTGTTCAATTAGCTTTGTAGAGATCTAGTATAGAGCTGTGTGAATGGGTAAATGAGGCACAGATTGTTGTAAAGAGCTTTGAGTATCTCAATAAGATAGAAAGGTGATATACAAGTACAGTCCATTTAGACAGTATTGCATCATCTCTATAATAATATAGTTACTAAAGTATTACAGTATTATAAAGTATTACAGTATGTCAATAGTTCTATAGTTACTACAGTATTGCCCCAAATCATGGTGTGAGCATGAAACTGCATTTCTGCTGTTCACTTCAACCTTGAGTCCATTTCTCAGTTCAGGCTCATCTTCTGAGCAGAATCTTTGTTCAGAAACTCCGATCTGCTGATTCACTTTCTTTGCACTTATCATCCACATGGAGGAAGTCAAAAAGCTTTTTCATCTAGTTCAGTTGCAACTTGTGTTGACACAAAATGTATTAGCAGGCGACACTCGCAGTGATCCGACACTCGCATCTGCTGATTCACCTTTTTTTACACGCATAAAGGAAGTCAAAAAGCTGTATCATCCTGTTTGGCTCCAGCTTGTACAACAACCTTCTTGTTAGCAGAAAAACTGTTCTCAGCTCAGAGAAACATTTGCACAAACATTTAGAGGTCAGAACTACAAATTAGTTTTATGCTAACCTAATATGGCCATAATCGCTGATCTTTGACAGACGTGTTTTAGCTAAAATGACATCCTATGGTTTATAAGGTCATATAAGTTGGAAGGAAAATGCCAGGCTCTGACCATATTTTAAAATGAAAAAATACACAGTTTTTATTTAATAAAGTCAAAGTCAAAATGCAAAAAAGATTTGTGGGGAAGTGTTCACCGTATTATTTAGGAGCTTGTAGAACCACCTTTAGCAGTAGTAAGGCTTAGTAAGTATTTTCTGTTCAGCCTCAACAGATCCTCATATCATTGGTTTATTATAGGCCTGATCAAAAGTCAAAGTTTCTTTATTTTTCACACAAAACACATGTGGTACATGTGGTGGAACGAAATGTACACAGCGCCCCAGTTACATCCAGTTAGGGCGGCTGTGGCTGAGTGGTTAGAGCAGTCGTCCTCCAATGCAAGAGTTGGGGGTTCGAATCCACCAGCAGTCACATGCTGAAGTGTCCCTGGGCAAGACACTGAACCACTCATAGCCTCTGATGTGTGTCCCATCAGTGTATGAATGTGATAAATCACTGATTAGTCTCTTTAGAATGATTTGTTCAATTAGCTTTGTAGAGATCTAGTATAGAGCTGTGTGAATGGGTAAATGAGGCACAGATTGTTGTAAAGAGCTTTGAGTATCTTGATCAGATAGAAAGGTACTATATAAGTACAGTCCATTTACCATTTATAGTACAAAAACAATATGTCGAACAGCAGCACGAACATGAGTCTGTGTGAGCAGATGAGTACGAATGAACACAGCAACAGATCAGCAGCAACATGAAACAGATCAGCAGCAACATGATGTGATTTTCCACAGTGATTATTCTGGTTAGAGATTCATGAGTCTAACAGCCTCAGGGTAGAAGCTGTTCCTCAGTCTAGTGGTTCTACACTTAATGCTCCTCAACCTCCTTCCTGAGGGGAGTGGGGCAAAAAGTGTGTGCGCTGGGTGAGTGGAGTCCTTCATGATGCAGGTGGCCTCTTCCTGCATCTGGAGGTGTAGATGTCTGTGATGGTGAGGAGACTGACTCCAACATCTTCTGTGCAGCCTTCACCACTCTCTGCAAATACAAAAAAGTTCAATCTGGTCCTCTGGACATTCAAAAAGACAAAAAACAAAACAAAGCAAAGGTTGTTTTGTTTTTTGGTTTTTTGAATGTCCAGAGGACCAGACTGAACTTTTTTGGATTTTTCTACCTGGATTATTGAGCATGCATCAGGACACTCTCTGCAAAGCTTTTCTTTCAGCAGCTGTGCAGCCTCCATGCCACACGTTGATGCTGCAGCACAGGATGTTCTCCACTGCACACATGTAGAAGGAGGTGAGGACTGAGCTTCCCAGACCAGCTCGCCTCAGCCGTCTGAGGAAGTAGAGTCTCTGATGAGCTTTCTTCATCAGGCTGGTGGTGTTGTTGCTCCAGCTGAGGTTGTCATTCAGGTGTACACCCAAATACTTGTAGCTGGAGACCACTTCCACTGCAGATCCTCCTATATTCAGTGTATGTGTGTGTGTATGTGTGTGTGTGGGGTAGGTGTGTTTTTTCCGTCTGAATCTTTCTTGGGCAGCACAGTGACACAACTGGTAGAGCTGCTGCCTCTCAGCGAGCAGGTCCCTGGTTCAAATACCGGCCCGAGGACCTTTCTGTGGGGAGTTTGCATGTTCTCTCCGTGCATGCGTGGGTTTTCTCCATGTACTCCAGTTTCCTCCCACAGACCAAAAACATGCATGTTAGGCTGATTGGCGACTCTAAATTGTCTCTAGGTGTGAGTGAGAGAGTGAATGGTTGTTTGTCTCGTTTGTCTATGTGTCCCTGTGATGGACTGGAGACCTGTCCATGGTGTCCCCCACCTCTCACACAGTGATTTCTGGACGTGGACACCAGTTACCCCCGCAAATCAAAAAGGAAGAAGCGGGTAAAGATAATGGATGGATGGGTGGAATTTTTTTTCTGACAGTCCTTAAAATAATTACTTTTTCATTCTTTTTCCAATTGTTCTATCATGAACTTTACATTTCAACCTGCTAACTGATCCCCCGGTGATCACATCAAAGCCAACTTCTAGTAGCTGCTCTCCATGTGGACATATTTTACTGAGTAGGTGAGGATGTTAGCCATATGCATTGTCTGTAACATGTTTTAAAAGAATAGTTGGAGGCAACACAAAATGTGAAGCTGTAACAAAAAGGAAACCTTTTCTATAGTGTATCTGCTCAGGGTTTGTACAGCATTCAATGTATTCAGAGTGCTTCACTTTCACACATTTTTTTAAGTTACAGTACTAGAGTAAAATAATATTTTCCCTCAAACATCTACAAACTTTACCCCAGAATGGCAAAATGAACATTTTTTTATTTTTATTTTTGTGCAAATTTTATTGAAAACGAGAGACACAATGATTACATGTTCACAAGTACTCAAGCCTTTGCCATGACACTCAAAACTGAGCTCACATGCATCCTCCTGTCCTTCTGGAAGGTTCTCCTAACAGAAACGATAATTTCTTCAGCACCCAACTATATAGGCCTGATTGATGGGGTCCTTCCTTCTGGAAGGCTCTCGTCTCGCTATGACCAATGCTGAAGTTCTGTCAGATTTACCATCAGGTTCTTGGTCACCTCTCTGGTTAAGGCCCTTTGACCCTGATCACTCAGATTTGCCAGGCGGCCAACTCTAGGAAGAGTCTTGGTGGTGCAGAACCTTTCATTTATGGACAATGTGAGCCACTGTGCTCAACGAGACCTTTAATGTTCCCCAAATTCTTTTTGTACCCTTCATCAGATCTGTGCCTCAAAGCAACCCTGCCTTGGAGGTCTGCAGATAAGTCAATACAATTCAATTCAAAAATACTTTATTAATCCCAAAGGGATTAATAAATGTTGTAGCTCGTCATCCTGGTTTCATTCAAGAGTTGTTATAGATGCTGATAGCTGTGGGCTGGAAGGATCTCCTGCAGTGAAGCTGAAGAATCTGGCCACAGATACTGATCCACCCACCTGGATCCAGCTTGCTGTCAGATCTGGCAGGCCTCTCGGTCCTCCTGAGCAGCAGGACTGCCCGAAAGATCCTCGTCGCCATGGACAGACAGCTGAAGATGCCAGGGTGTGACATTATTCTGCTTGGAGACTTCAACATTCATATGGATGAAGACAACAACCCCCTCACCAGAGACTTCACATCCTGCCTCGACAGCTGTGGCTTCCAGCAGTTCATTAACTTTCCAACCCACATAAAGGGCCACACTTTGGACTTATTATGCTGCTCTGGACTCTCTCCTCTTAACTGTTCTTCTGATGAACTTCTGTTTACTGATCACCTCATGATTTCATTCAGTGTCAATCTTAAATATTCTTCAGAGAAACCTCAACGCACTCTTCCCTTCCGTAATATTAAGAATGTCAACCATGACATTATTTTGTCTCATATTAATAATACCATCTTCACCTTCAATTCTTTTAACCCAGATGACCTTGTCACATTCTACAATAACAGCCTCACCAACATTCTTAACTCTGTCGCTCCTCTGAAAACCCGGTCTGTCTCCTTCTCCAACTCTGCACCCTGGTTCACTCCATAACTCCGTTCTCTGAAATCCAAAGGTCGGAGCGACTCTATAAGAAATCCGGTCTCTCAAATCACAAGGAACTCTATGCGAACCACGTCATCCAGTATAAGGACAGTATTTCTCAAGCCAAATCCAGCTACTTCTCTGACATCATCAATTCCAATGTTGGCAATTCAAAGACTTTGTTCTCTCTCCTTAACCGTTCAGTCTCATCTCCTAACTCATTACCCTCTCACATGGTTTCCACAGAATTTTCCAACCCTCTGTCTTATTTCAATGAAAAGATTCTTTCAATTCATAAACACCTTGGACCAAATACCGCCCCCAGCATCTATGTTGAACTCCCCCCTCCCTCCCTCCCCTTCTCTGTCTTCTCCCTCCCCTCTGCTGATGACATTGCTGACATTATCAGCAAGTCTAAGTCCTCATCCTGTCAGCTCGATCCATTTCCCACAGTTCTTGTTAAATCCTGTCTCCCGTCTCTGCTCCCCATCATCACTAACATCATCCACTCCTCCCTAACCTCTGGCATTGTTCCCACAGCTTTCAAATCTGCTGCCATCACCCCCATCATCAAGAAACCAGGTCTTGACTTTACCAACTTCAGTAATCTTCGTCCAATCTCTAATCTGCCCTTTATTTCCAAAGTTCTTGAAAAAGCCGTTGCTAGTCAACTTCACTCTCACCTATCCAACAATAACATTTATGAAGAGTTTCAATCTGGTTTTCACCCCCACCATAGCACCGAAACAGCTCTAATAAAAATAACTAATGACCTTCTTCTTGCTGCTGACTCTGCTCTTCTGTCTATCCTAATTTTACTGGATCTAAGTTCTGCCTTCGACACAATCTGTCATTCTATCCTCCTCAACAGACTAACCTCCACTGGCATCTCAGGTACTCCGTTAGACTGGTTCAAATCATATCTCTCTGACCGCACTCAATTCATTCAGCTCAAATCCTTTTGTTCCCAGTCTTCCCCCGTCTCCACGGGTGTCCCCCAAGGCTCTGTCCTCGGACCCCTCCTCTTCATCATTTACCTCCTTCCTCTAGGTCACATCTTCCGTAAATTTGGTGTCCATTTTCACTGTTATGCTGATGACACACAGCTCTACCTATCAGCAAAACCAAACTCCACCCACCCACCCTCCATCCTCACCGACTGTCTCAATGAGCTAAATCACTGGTTTTCTAACAATTTTCTACAACTAAAAAGTAACAAAACAGAAATCATTCTTGTCGGTACCAAAAACTCTCTTTCAAAATCAGAAAATCTTCTCATCCCATTTAACTCTCTGCTTTCCCCCTCGCCTCAGGTCAAGAGTCTTGGTGTCATCCTCGACACCACTCTCTCCTTCACTTCACACATCAACAACGTCACTCGGTCTGCCTATTTCCATCTCCGAAATATTAACCGTCTCCGCCCTTCTCTCACACCTCGCTCCACAGCCATCCTTGTTCACAGTCTTGTGACTTCTCGGATTGACTACTGCAACTCCCTTCTTTATGGCCTCCCCAACAAATCTCTCCAGAAGCTACAACTGGTCCAGAACTCAGCTGCCCATGTCATCACTCAAACCTCCTCCTATAACCACATCACTCCTGTCCTGCAGCAGCTCCACTGGCTCCCGGTTAAATCACACATTGTCTTCAAAATTCTTCTTCTCACTTTCAAAGCTATCCACAACCTTTCCCCTCCGTACCTATCTGACCTCCTACACATCTCCATCCCCTCTCGCTCTCTCAGATCCTCCTCTTCACTACACCTCCATGTACCCTCTGCCTGCCTCTCCACCATGGGGAGCAGGGCCTTCACCTGCTCTGCTCCTCATCTCTGGAACTCTCTGCCCCCTGACTTAAGAAACACCACCTCTCTTTCTCTATTCAAGACTGCTCTGAAAACACATCTCTTTAGACTCACTTATCCTTAACTTTGCTGTATGTATTTTATATTCTTTATGTATTTTATATTCTGTATGTATTTTATATTCTTTATGTATTTTATATTCTTTATGTAATTTATTCCTGTTGATCTTTGTTCTTACTGTAAAGTGTCCTTGGTTGTCATGAAAGGCGCTTTTTAAATAAAATGATTGTTATTATTATTATTATTATTATTTGAGCTTTTGAGGCGTTAATGAGCTGCTCCTGGTTGTTTAAAAGAAAACACTGTTGCCATGGATACGCATCATAACAAAAGTCCCAAAGTAAAAAAGTTTTAGTAAAAATCCTTCCAGCTGCACAGCATCCAATACCAGAGTAAATAATCATATGAAAAAAGTGATTTACATCCAGAAAAAAGAGGAATTAAAGTTTTCAAACGCAATAACTCAGAATAAATGTAACGGAGCTGCTCCAACGTGCAGCCACCCTGAGGACATGTCCTTGGACTTCATGACTTGGTTTGTGCTCTGTCATACACTGTCATCTACAAGATGTTATCTAGAAAAGGTTTGTGCCTTTCCAATTCAAGTCCAATCAACCGATTTTGCCACATGTGGACTTCAGTCAAGTTGTAGAAACATATAAAATAGGATCAGTAGCAACAGGATGCACCTTGTTTCAGTTTTGATTGTCAAGGCAAAAACTGATTTATTTATTTTTTAAATAGTGCACGTGAATGCTTTACAGGTGCACTGTATGTGTCACTGAATATTGGATAATTTTTTTACATGACTTGCTCTTCAGGCAGGGTAGCTTTCGTCCAGTTGGCCGACCTCCTGAACATCGAAGTAATCACACTCAAGTCAAGACCGCACCCACTTCAAAGTTTGTTTCCCAACATCTACCAGTCGGCTCCCAGTCGCCTCGTCTGCAGAATGGTCCAACACCGGTGAGCTGCACACAGTGCAGTCAGTCAGTAGCCGTTGTGCAGCAACGTGATTGATTTGAAGTAAAACTAAATGTAGTAAATTAATAATTAATTATTATATATATATATATATA